GTACACAAGCAAGAATCAAACACCAAGAAAATACTAAAAAAATTGAAGAAAACATGAAGAAACAAGAAAAAAAGAAATACAAGCAACTTTCTTATGATATTGGAGAAAAAGTCAAGATTCCTATATTAAAGATTGATCAAAAAAGAGGTCAAAAATTTCTTCTATGTGTTATTTTAGATGTTGATAAAGATGAAATGTTGACCTTGGGATGTGCAGCTGGAACATTGGAAATATTCTATCATTCTAATGAAGTCGAACCATTAGATACTAATGATTGGCCTGAACTCAATCAAATTTCATCAAAAATCATTTCCTTACGAACAGCAGCAAATTATCATAAACAAAATCTGAATTGGAAAGATTTAAAATCATCTGGTTCTTGTCATTACAATAGTAAGTGCATGACAATTTGTTGTCCATGTTATGCAGCCTCTCTATCATGCACTCTCATGTGTCACTGAGGAAGAAACTGTAATAATCATATAATATATATGTAACAAATTAAATGTGATAATAAAAATCAAATTTTTGCGTGATACATGTATTGATATCTTTCATAATTATATTCTAACTTGCTGAAGTCCACGTCAATTATTTCAGAATTTATATTTGATACGTCATTTTAGAATTCCAAAACAACGTATGTTAATTTTGAATTTGAAACGACGTACATCATTTTGGAATTTGAAATGACATACGTCAATTCAGAATTGACGTGAATTCTGAAATGACGTATAGCAGTCACATCATTTTGGAATTCTGAAATGACATATGTCAATTCAGAATTGACGTGAATTCTGAAATGACGTATAACAGTATGACCATAGATAGATAGACTAACCATGTATCATAATAACAAAAGATCATTCTGATCAATCAAAATAATAGCTAACAAAATGCATTTGATTGGCTGAAAGCCATGAACGATCAAATTTTTGGTCAGCATTATTATGAAAACTACGTATATATCTCAGGTAAAAATTTCCAGGTCCCGTGATCTATGATTTACCGAATTAATCGACCCAAAAAACAATGATCAATTCTTATGTTAGTAAAGTATCTGATTTTTAATAAATATGTTGCTTTATTTTTGAATTTTTGTTGTATTAAGTTTTCTGGTAATTATAGAGTATTCAAATAATCAATGAGTTGATTATATTCAAGTAAATTCATTGTATCAGTTGGATTAATCTAAAGTTAAATGATCAAATTGTTTTTGATGAATAAATATTAATTGAGACCATCTATAAAAAGAGAATATGATGAGCATGGAGCTGGTACAGTAATGGTAATGAGTAAATGAATTAATCCGACGAATTTTATCTCCATGCACAGTACCCCAAAAAGTATCGCCCGATTTTTTTAAAAAATGAAATTTTCGATTTATTTCATTTCTGCTTTATATACATAAAAATTTTTTTACCATTAACTAATACATTACCCACTCTCTATATGGCTTCAATATCACCTCGATTTCTTACGTCATCGAGCTCACATCCTACCCCAAACTAACACATTAAATTTGACTACGCTTTCTTCAGAGCATGTTCACAAGTTTTGAAAAGCTTTTACACATTAAAATATTGTTTTACAATTGTTTCTAGATGTTTTCTATGAAGCCAGGTCTGGGAGAATACGCTATTGGTTCATAATCATTAATATTCCTATTTCGTGATCTTTAGAATTAGGATTAGGATTAAGTTGAAACGCTGTGTATGGCCCAAAAAAGAATTCAAAGGCTAATTTTCGTCTCGATGATAATTCTCAATATCTAGTAAAAATGTAGCTTATAACTCCCAAATATATTCTTAAATTCATTTGAAAGTTTCGAATACCCCCTATTGAGTTTCTCTTGGTACACTAAAACCTTGTGTTCTAAATATCTGGGTAAATTACACTCACAAGGTCATGCTCTTTATTAGATGAAACTTGCAAGTACATGTACTAATTTACCGATATGCATTATAGAGTAGAATAAAACGATTGTTTATTATTTTTAACCATTGCGTTTTAGTTATAAAAAATTGTTCCTAAATTTACTTCTTTTGTGTGTATTCGAATATACAGGATGTTACGTATATAGCAAAAAATGCGATGATCTATCTCATTTTGTTATTTTCTTGATTTCAGTAATTATGTACATACTTTAATTTTTTGCGAAACTGTCATCGTTTACTTGCTATGATTATTTATCTTCAATGTATGATTCGTTAATATTATCGTTATTGTCTGCTAAAGAGAATTGTCATTATAACTTATTGGAATACCTTTCTTTTACAAATGGACACAAACACACACGCAAACGGAGATTAAATAAACTTATATGATTTATATTGGAATGCTCTAAATTGGTTTGCTTGTTGTGTTAAAGAAGAGCTTTTTACATGTATTAGTATTATTTACACACATACAAACAGAAGTGTCGATATCGATAATACTGTACCGTACCTTTTTATGGTATTGGACAATAAAAACAGCTTATTGAAAATTGATTTACATAACGATAACGATAAATGCTCTTTTAACGTAATATAACGATAACGATAACGGTAACAACAATAAACACGTTCAAACAGAAATTCTATTACGATTTTACAAGTGAGCTTCCACGCATAAACAAACATTATTATGTCGTTTATTTATCCATTATTTCACTACACATAATCATAAAACCATTTATAGAGTGAACTCAAAGATGAGTTCTAAAATAGCGGGTACGGAATTACTACATAAGTGTTCAGATCATAATATGATTGTGGTAAGTTAAGTGCGCTCGTTGTTAAGGAAATGATTCATGTCATGGATGTTTTCTATATCACAAATGAATCAATACCGTTGAAGATAACGATAGGATATCAACTGTCTAATAAAAGAATGAAATTACAGTACATACCGATACCGATACTATGCACGTTTACGGACTTTTGTTTACTTGCTATCATCTCATACATATGGGCAAACTAAATAGATAACTGTATTTTCGTAAAATTGGAAGCGAATTACTTTTCTTTTCGTTATATCTTCAATTTATGTTAACGTAGGGTTGGCATTTTGGCCGATGATTATCGGCCAAAATTACCTAAAAAAGTGGTTCACAGCAACAATCTGAATTTGTGCCGAAATTCAAAAATTCAGACACAAGGCCATTGGATAAATTCAAGTAATCGTTGGTTTGAAGCAATGTCAAATATTCTTACGGAATAAAATAAAGTCACAAGAATTTGGGTCCGAACATATACAAATGTCTGAAACGGGACTTGATATAAAAATTTTCTGTCAAATGCGACGATGATTCACATGAATCATGCAATGTGCATGGATCGAGAAAATCTAATTAGAAAGGTTTTTTGTGTTGTCCTCGTTATACATATCAAGTTTTGACTGTAATCTCCTTTATGGGCATTTTAAAACATTAGCATATTTGCACTTGAAAAGTATTCATTCGCAATACATTATTGAGGGATTTCAATCGAAAAAAAGCAACGAGTATATTCACATTTATTAATATAATTGAAAGATATATAATAAATATAAAATGCGAATAAACTTCCGTTTCTCCAAATTAGAATAATAAATATTTAATTCAGAAGTATAAAATTTATAATTGATAATTGATAAGCAACTACTTGTTCTCATAAAAATATGATATTCAACACAAGAAATTTAAGTAACTTGATTTGTCGATTGTTCATCCGTCGCTTCTTGTTTTGCACGTAAATTTCTGTATGAGATTATCACTAGTACGAAATAAGTCTTATAGAAAACAAAAAGAGAAAAATTAAAAAAAAATTCAATATTAGATGAAAAAAGATTCTTGATTACTTACCGTAATTAAAATACCAATGGTTGCATTGATGATCGCAGCAAGAAGCCCAGCATTAAAAGCCGACTTACAGTCACTCTGCTTATATGAACCTTGACAGTAATCGAGAAACTTTTGTTTTAGAAAGACTACTGCTATTATTTTGGCAATTCTTATTATTAAGTAAAGTGCTAAGATAATCCATGATACTATTACATAGTAATTTAAGAGCCGGATTTTATTCTAAAAGAAGCAAAAAATCTGTGAATTATTCGGTCTTTATATAACATTCTGTGATCTTTTATAGAACAAACTTACTCTAAATATCACTACAAATAATCCATAAAGTACGCCGAGGCCTATAAAAATCTCGAGAATTGCATCCACTAAATTCCAATGTCCAACATATTTCCAAACTATCAACAAAAATTATATATCAATTTAAAGTTGCAATCAGACCAAAATTTTGAATGAAAAAAAACCTAAAACTTACTATCTTTAGAGGGTTCGTCACCTTTATTAAAGTTAAGAAAATCGACAACAAGTTGCCAAACTACACCAACCTTTATTTTTCATCAAATTATCACAAGCGTTATGTTTATTATCGACAATGTCAAGTCTTTGAATATATAACAAGGGTAATTTTTAACAATGCTTACCAGCCATAGCATGGATATAATCACCACACCTCTTCCCAAAGGAATGCAAAAACAACATTTCGACATCTGTATTCTTTTCCCAAGGGGTGACGATGTTCCTTCTGGGCGATTCATAATTAACAAATTAAAATTATTTCGCACTACTAGTAGAATTATAATTTGAAATAACACTCGAAAAGAAACCAAAATAGAAGAACAATTATTAAATAGAATATTTATTCTAATTATCTGAACAAGTCAATAATGATTTAGAAATTAAAAGAATTTTGTTTGAAGATAGCGATAGCAATTGCTTCCCTTTTATATATTTCATGTGTCAAACAAATGATATACATGTCCATATAATAATCATTTATCGGATACCGTTTCCGTTAATGTTAACCATATTCGTCTAAATAAAGGTAACATTACGATTAATGCTAACTATAAATGGCAAACAGTTGAACATGTATATCGATATCAGATCATATAAATATAATCGTTATTATCAACGTTAACCGATTATGAGGTAGATTCGAGTATTGTGACGAACTCCACTAACTTATACCCATTATTTATATGCAAGGTAAAAGAAGGTATTATGACACAGTTAAGATTATTCTTAAGAAAACTTTTTACAAATAACGATAATACAAATATTAGTATCGGTATACTAAAAAATAGACCCCATTCTGAATGAGCATAGTAAAAATATAATGACACAACAAGTACGTACATGTACAGTGCTCGTCAGAAGCAACGGACCCCCCATAACTTTCAATGGATCATGGGTAATGTTCTGGAATTTTCCGAGCATAAAGCACATTACAAATGCTATCAGATACCTTTCATATATTGGTAGAGCTGGTATTGTATGTTCATAAACTTTCATGCCCCAAATACAATAATCGATCACTTTAGGACATAATATCTCGTGCTCAAATCGAATCGTTGGACGTCGAGATATTATGTCCTAAAGTGATCGATTCATATTTGTCGATCAATTTTTCATTATAAATTGATCGCCAGAAAAATGAATCGGTC